TCGCCCCAAGCCATATCAACGCCTTCCGTTTTCACTGATTGTGGTTGTTGTGGATTAGGAGGGGGATTTTGTTCTTGGTGGTTGTGTGGTGGTGTGTGTGTGTGTGTGTGTGTGTGTGTGTGTGTGTGTAGGTGTGTGTGTGTGTGTGTGTGTTTGTTTGTTGTTTGTACCCAGCCCTTACCCTGTCCCTGCCTGTCCTCGCGCGTTCGCACCTTCCGTACGCACTTGCTCATTCCCCTCACCCCCCCCCCCTCTCTGCGTCTGCTTCCCTTCCGATTACTGCCACTTGCAGGGCATCAACCTGGGAGATGAGCTCACCCTCTCCGAGTTCCTCGCCGAAACGGTTCGTGAGGCACAACTCTTCGAGGCTTCGTGTCTCTTCTGGTTGTGCTGTGTTGTGCGTATTTATGTAGTTGTGGTGTCAAGGGATGGTTGGTTCATCTGATCGCATTCCATCAAAGACTCCCTCCACAAAGCACCTCTCCTTATCCCTCCTACACACACCACCTGATCCAAAGGCTGAATCCACTTTATCACTCACACCAGCACGCTTGCCTATGCCATCCTGCCGTTGAATTGCCTTGCGCACACGACAGAACCTGGATGGCTGCGCCAACCTGACTGCGTCCTCGGAGGGCTACTACTTCCAAGGCGGCCACGAGACTGGCGTGCTCCAGGCCCGCTGCGAAGTTGGTGCGTTGGTTGAAGCCAGAGCACAGAAGAGAGCACAGAAGAGCGAGGTGGGAGTCATGGTGTTGGTTGGGTTGCGTGATAGGCTGAGCGAGAAACACGAAAGCCGTTGCCTGGTAGCTGGCTTGGATGGTGTGTCAGGGGGCACGCCCAGTTCAGTTGTGCAGTTGGCGAGCCGGCGCCTAGCCTGCTGGCTAGCCATCTGGGTGTGGTCTTGTGGTTGTACCCCTTTCATCGCGATCATCACAACCATCATCACCATCTCACCAACACACACTGCCCCACCCATGTTACATCCAACCCCACCCACCCGCGTGTGTGTTTACTTTTTGCAGGTGGCCAGTGCATGTGCACCAACTTCAACGAATGCGCCAACGGAAGTACGTTGACCAGTGTGTGTGTGTGTGTGTGTGTGGGTGGGGGTGAGTGTGGGTGGGTGTACTCGTGTGCGTGTGGATATCTTCCGTCTCTGTCTTCTCCCTTTTTCCACTCACCACAAAACCACCCTGTCCTCGCCAACTCACGCCCTTCATTGCGCATGTGCATCTTTCCATCTTACAACGCCTGCCAGACTGCCAGAAGATCTTCCGCTGCAACGACACAGAGACTGAAGGCTGCTTTGCTGTCGCAAACTGCACCCAGGCCACATTTGACACCTACTTTGCTGTGCGTTCCGCGCATTGTGTGTATTATGTGTGTGTGTGTGTGCGTGCGTGCGTGCGTGTGTATTATGTGTGTGTGCGTGCGTGCGTGCATAGGGGCGTAATATGACACCGTCGTATTGTCCACATGACTCTGTTATTGTCTCCACGGTACCTTGTTTGCCTGCAAGCACGGCCCATTGAGCCATTGTTGATTAGTTTCAATATGTTTCCTCGCCGCGTGTGCCCGTATCTAACCCCCCCCCGGGCCACATCACGTTGCCTTCCATCAGGTTGAACTTGACTGCTCGCGTGGCGATCCGCTGACAGAGCGCAATGAGGAGGAGCTCGACTTCTTTGCCATACGCTGGAAGCAGGCCCTCGAGGACGACTGCGAAATCTCCAGGGTATGTGTGCGCACATGTGTGTGTGTGTTGAGTGCGTTTAGTGCATGTACGTGTGGTTGGATGCTTGCATGCAGACACGCTACACTGCATGCACCGACAGACCAATCCAACCCATTCAACTGCACGGCAGCGTTGGCTCACCTGTTTCCAACACCCACGCATGCAGCTGTGCCGGTACAAGGGCGACACATCTGCCACGATTGACGTGATCAACGCCACCTCGTTCCGCACCAGCGCCCTCAACAGCGCACATGTCGACGACCTGCTTGTGTGCGCGCAGTCGACAACCTTCCGCTTCAACCGCTGCACCGTCGTGGATGTGCGTGAGGTGGACGCACCAACCACCACCACAACTACAACCACAACGACGACGACGACAACGACGACAACAACCACCACGACCACCACCACAACAACGACAACAACGACAACAACAACAACCACCACGACTACAACTACCCTTCCTCCTTGTGACTACACGTGCGATGACAACGTCTACAGCTGCCTTGGCGCGGTAAGTCACAGCACGTGAATGGTTGGGTGCGTGGTGTGGTGTGTGGCCTGTGCTGGCTGCACAGTGCACACCCCAGTTGTGTGCACATTTTGTTCGTGTATGGCATTCACGCACGCATGCTCGCACTGCACTCGCACTTACACACACACATGCACACACACTCACTCACTCTCTCACTCACACACACACACACTCTCACACACTCAACACTCATAAATAAACCCCCTCCCCCTCACTTCACCACACAAACCAGGCCATGTTTGAGAACAACGTGCGCGACACGTTCTCTGAGTGCGTTGCGTCCTACGAGCACCACAGCACCTCTGGCCTGGTTGACTTTGGCATCTGCCTGGCAGACTGCGACGAGGTCATGCCCAGTGACAACTACACCGACGTGAAGGTTATCCTCGCTTGCTAGTGAGTCGAAACGCCCTGATCGGGTCGAAGCGCAGTGCTCAATGCAACGTGCCCAATGCGTTATTGCTTCTGTGCTTGTGCGTGTGCGTCTATCACGGAGGATTATTGTTCCCACTCCTGCGTGTGCTCCCGTTCCGCGTTTGCCCCATGTATCTAACAGCCACGCTTGTATCTCCCGTTTACATCTCCACTCACCATCCCAATCATCCACATGTGTCCCCGACAGCCGCTCCTGTGCGCTGACAACGGCGGATATGGATTGCAACGTGACCATCACGACCACGACAACCACGACCACAACGACGACCACGACAACCACCACCACGACAACCACCACCACAACCACAACAACTATGGGCCTCTGCGATCAATACGAGCCAAACGATAGCCCACCAGACATCACCACCACGGTCACTGTACCGGTTGACCTAAACTCCACCATCTGCACAGACGACGAGGATTGGTTCAATTTCGACGTGTGCTCGGGTGGCAACGCAACCATCAACTGCTACTTCACGCACGCCGTGGCCAACTTCGACCTTGAATTGTTTACCTCGGAGGGTGCTCCTGTTACTTCCGCGACATCCACAACTGACAACGAATACATCTTTCTGCAGAACCCTGGCGCTGGGGCCACATATTTTCTGGTGGTGTTCGGCACCTCTTCCTCTGACACTGGCGACTACCAGCTGACCGTTACCGCTGACTGCCCTGCGTAATGACTGCACTGCGATTGGTGGCCTGATCCCAGGAACCCCTTGCCTTTCCGTCTCTGCGAAGGTCGTGCTGTCGTGCGCTGTTCATGTATGTACTGTTGAGCTTTTCATCTTGTTGGCCTCTTTGTTTTGTTTTGTCTTTGTATGTGCCTCCTCTCTGCGCCCGCCACCCTCCACAAAGCCTGCTGTCTTGTTGTCCTTGCTGTTCTGCTGCGATGCGCTTGAGCGCTTGGCTGGTGGCACGCCATCACGTGCGTCCTTCTTTGACGACCCTCTGTTTCAGTGGTTTTTGCAAAGATACCAGCTAATCGCCACCGGTCCAAACAAGCCCAAACAAAACGCACAACAACACCCAGCAAGAGACAGCACACAAGACAACAACAACGCACACACACACACACACACACACACACACACACACACACACACACACACACACACACACAATGACCTCACAACCTTCCTCTGTTCCGTCCACCGACATCAACACAAGTGCCGCCCCTGGCGGCCTTGGTGTGCACGAGTGGGCGTGTGTTGCACAGCACTTGCTCGCACAGCAGTTTGCACGAATCAACCAGGATCGCGAAGGCTTTGATGACGGTGAGGGCTACTGTGTGGGCCGGGCTCTTCAGGAAGATGACGTGGACGCCGACTTGTTGTCCGCGCGAGAACGCGATGGAGCGCGCGCCGTCCTCAACCTCATGTTGTCGTGCCGCACGCTCTACAACGAACTTCCCTGGGCGCTTCCCAAGTGGTATCTGGCACACCTTGTGCGCACAGACATGCTGGGCCAACGGCACACGTGCTACGTCTCCGGCGCGTGGCTGGACACGTTCCAGTGGGAGGAAGAAGAACCGCAGCAGGAAGAACAAGAAGAAGAAGGAGGGGAAGAAAATGATGGAGGCAAGGACTCTGACAACCGCAGAGAAGACGACAAAGGCACAAAGGGCAGCACCGGCGATCCGCTTGCTTGTGATGGCGCCTGTGGACTGGCAGATCCCCGTGCTGCCACGCACTCAATCAGTGCCCCACCCAGCCGCAACAGCAGCAGCAGCAGCATGCATGCGTGGCTGGAAGATCGCTTCCTCGTGCATTCCTGGCTGGGCGCCACGTGGGTGAGCACGTGCCAGTTCCTGGCCTTTAGCCCGCGCACACCCAAGTTCATGCAGGCGTTTGGCCGCTACGGCCGCATCACTTTCCGGGGCCTCTCAACGGCCGACATTTTCCTTTGGACCGACGGCACGGCACAGCTACCGCGGCCGCAGCATGGCGATGAGAATGGTGATGGCAATGGCGATGGCCAGCTGGGCGAGGGTGACAACGGCCTTGGTGATTGCGGCACCCCTGCCAACAACGGTGACGAGCGAACCGAGGAGGAACCACTGCAAACGTTTCGGCACAAGAACCCAGCCATGCGCCCCGCCCTGTTCATGGCGCAAGCAGGGGTTGAGGACCAGGCCTCCCTCAACGAGGTCATGCGCCGCATCGAGACACTGCAAGAACAACACAAGTGCACGTGCGACCGCCTGTTCCTGTGCACGCACGGCCCACTGGATCATGTGCGTGTGCGCGATGCTCGGCATGTCCACATCGAATGTGCAGATGACGCCGTCATCGACAGCGTTGAGCTGCACAACGTGGTCGAATTGCACTGGCACCTTGCTGCCGACCAGCGCTACCTCAGGGGCACCCTGGACAACGTGCGCAAGGTGAAGGTGTTTGGCGACGAGGAGCAGTCCATCAGCGACATCAACGCCCTCGCCAACGTGTCCGATGTCACGCTCATGCGCCTTGACAACGTGTCGGCTGGCCCCCTGGCGCACGCGCGGCGGGTTGTTCTGTATCAGGTGGAGCTTGCGTCCGGTGCCGTCTGTCTCCAGGACGTGGACCATCTCGAACTGCACAGATGCCAGGGCATTGACAGCGACTTCACATGCAATGCACGCGCGTTCAAGCTGGATGGCGGGATGCAGTTGAACATTAAGCTGCCACACGCCACGCGCGTGCACCTCTCCAACACGGACACCACCCACCTTGACCTCGGCTTTGAGGCTCTCGACGTCTTGGCGCTGCACCGCTGCGATCAGTTGCAGACATTGCCTGCGTTTGGGCGAGTTGACGTCCTCAGCCTGTCTTTCGTGACAGGGCTGGACGCTGCCCTCTTGCGCAGCCTCAACGGACGCGTTCGCACGCTCATCATCAACGCGGCTCACGACCCGACGTTCGATTTGTCGCTGCTGGAGAACGTAAGCGCTGACGTGCGCGTGGAGGTGGCTGCGGACGGCTGCAACATTCGCCGGCCGCTTCCCGCGTGCGTGCAGGCAGTCAACGTCGACACCCTGAGTGCACAGCACGTGCCCGACGTTGCAGTCGCCAGCCGCCTTCAAGTGGCCTTTGAAACTGCCCACAACAAGCTCGCCCAGCCAACCATGGCACTGCTGTGCAACCACGAACACGTGCAGATGTACGGGTGCGCCATGGAGGGTCAAGTACACGGTGTTGGTCAACTCGGGCTTTGCGGGTGTGAGGGTGCAGTTTCCGTTCAAGGCGCTGACTTTGTCAAGGTGGACGAAGGCGCCCTGACGCTGACGCTGGCAGATGTGCGACGCGCGCGTTTGATCGCGATTGAGCACGTGCGCGTGCCATCCACCAGCAACGTGACGACGTGTGTGCTGGACGGATGTCAGATTGAAGACTGGAGCGGCTTTGCTGGCGTGCGCCGCCTGATTGTGAACGCGTGCGTGTTTGACAACGTCGACACACTGCCGCTCACCGCTGCGCCGTTTACCTTTCAGATGCGCGGTGAGTGTAAGACCATCACCACGAACAAGGTGTGGCCTGAATTCACAGTCATCTTCCAAGAAGGCGATGACGCAGACGATGTCAGGCGCGAGCTTAACGAGAGCGCAGTCGACGACGAGGAGGGCGATGTGCACGACGGGGAGGAGGAGGAGGAGGGGAATGGGGAAGGGAGGTTGGTTTATGTTGACGACGATGATGAGCGTGTGGAGGAATGAGTATGCGCTTGGCTGCACTTTTGTGTGTGTGTGTGTGTGTGTGTGTGTGTGTGTGTGTGTGTGTGTGAATATGTTGGTGGAACCGCGCCACCGCATGGTTTGGTGCTTGCCTGCGTGATACCTGTTGTCCACCCTTGCCTGCTTGCAATGCACCGCAGCTTCTTGCCTTGTGACTACATCCACGTGTCCTGTTCTGTTGTGGTGTGCTCTTGCTTGCTTGCTTGTTTACTTCTTCTTTGATTGGGCTGTCCCGCACAACAAAACCAAAACGAATCAATACTGCACACACACACACACACACACACACACATACACACTTGTATCGTGCCAACAACACGGTGCTCTAGAGTCAGCTTCAGATCTCCGACACATCCAGACTCATGTTGATGTTCATGCCTGCAAGCTCGGCGCCAAGGTAGCGGAAGACGTACGGCAGGCGCACCTTGACGACCTTGCTGTCCTTGCAGCTCAAGCACACGTCCTTGCGAATGCGAGATGCTGCCGACTGGGCAATGGAGGTTGTGGACAGCACGCCGCCACACGACTTGCACACAGTCGCCTGACATGCCAGCACAGGATATGATAGTGGTGGTGATGTTGGGAGAGAGAGAGGGGGGGGGGTGGTGGTGATGTTGGTGGAGGAGGGGGGGGGGGCGGTGGTGAGCGGGGAGTATCGCAAGAAGTGGGGAAGAGAGCGGGAGGGCAGGAAAACTGCATGTAGAGTGACAGATGACAAAAAGAACGCAGCACAGGGCAACCACAACACAGTCCGTGAAACAGACTACAACAGCAGCGCAACGCGTTACCTCGCTGTCGTCTGAGCAGCGAAGGAGCCTGTCTTGGAGGAGGAACGCGGTTCCGTGCGCAATGAGTGCATCGCGTTCCATTTCACCAAAGCGGACACCACCGTGGCGCTTGCGGCCCTTGATGGGCTGGCGCGTGCGTGAGTCAACGGGGCCTGTCGCGCGCACCTGGTACTTGTCAGAGACCATGTGACGCAGCCTCTGGTAGAACACATTGCCTGCAAGCAAAAGAGGAAGAAAAAAACGGCGCAGTCAGTTGAATGCGCTCTGGTTCACTCGTGTTTGTTTGATCGTTGTCGTTTTGTTGGTTGTTTGATTGGCAGGCTGTTTGCTGTGTGCGTGTGCGTGTGTGCGTGTGTGTGCGTGTGCGTGTGCGTGTGCGTGTGTGTGTGTGTGTGTGTGTGTGTGTGTGTGTGTGTGTGTTGCCTGCTGCGTACCGATGAAGACGTCGACCTCCAGCTCCTCGCCGGTGATGCCCGAGTACATGCGCTCGTGCCCAAAGTAGTTGTATCCGGCCTTGCGCAGCTCCTCCCCAAAGAACTCAACAGCCGTGTCGTCCTGGGGCACGGCGGCACAGGACAGTGGACTCGGGTGAACGGATACAGTAAGACATGCGGTGCACGGGAGCCACTACCATCACCATCACCATCACCATCACACACACACACGCACACACACACACACACACACACACACCTCGTCAAACTGGAACGGGGTTGAGTCGTAGAAGCGCTCGTGGAGACAGCCGGCCTTGCCCGCCATGCTCTCAATGAGCATGCCAATGGTCATACGCGAGGGGAAACCGTGCGGGTTGAAGATGATGTCGGGAGTGATGCCAGACTCCGTGAATGGCATGTCCTCGGACGGCAGCATCTGCACACATGAGGGTCACGCAAGGGGGGGGGGAACAGGTGGTTGTGATTGTGGCGGTAGTGGTTGTGGTGGTGAGGATGATGACAGAATGGCAACGGCAGTGGAGGGCGAAGGTGTGAGCACATGTCAAAGAGCCGCATTTGCGAGAGCAGTCGCGAATAGTGTGCGTGTCTCGTGCATTTGTTGTTGTTGTTGTTGTTGTTGTTGTTGTTCCATCTCCGTTGCCCTCCCCCTTTCTCAGGTGTCTCAGTTACAAACGCCTGCATCGCTGCAGCGCATGTGGAATGCACCACACCATCACCTCGCCACACCACCACCATGCGCACCTGGGAGAGAATGCCCTTCTGACCGTGCCTGGAGGCAAACTTGTCGCCAATAATCGGGTTTCGGTTCACAGACACCGTGATGGCGATACGTTGCACCTCGCGCTTCGTGGACGTGTCCGACGCAAGCAGCAGGCGCACCTGAACATGCCAAGGGAAGAGGGGCGGGCACGAAAGGGGTTTTGGGGGCGGGCACGAAGGGGTGTTGGAGAATGTACACATGTGAGGCATGGAGACATAGAACGGGACAGCAACATCACATTACTTGGACAGCGAGTCGAAAGAAGTTACAGCAGCAGCAACCAAATACACACAACACACAATAAAGGACACTACAGGCGACAGCAACGTACGCTCTCGATGCGCGCTGGCTCGCCCTTGTATCTGTGGATGTGGTTCGACTGCTCCTCGTCGACGACAGCATAAAACGGATCACCCTTCTCAACCATGATGCCAACGCGTGGAAGGCCATCGTCGTCAAGAAAGTCACTGTTCTCCGCACGGTGCCGTGGCAGCAGGCCTGTTTGATGGCAGAGGCAAAGGACGTGTGTGTGTGTGTGTGTGTGTGTGTGTGTGTGTGTGTGTGTGTGTGTGTGTGTGTGTGTGTGTGTGTGTGTGTGTGTGTGTGTGTGTGGGGGGTAGAGGGGGTGAACCAATGGAGGGTTGCGGTGATGGTGAGCCGATGTGGAGTGTTGCGACAGGGCGGCTCAAGGGGTAGGCGCTCGACCTGCCATGACACACACACACACACACACACACACACACACACACACACACACACACACACACACACACACACACACACACACACACACGCACGCACCAAAGGCTTTTGAGACGCCGCTGCGGTCGACGAGATCAACAATCTCCGTCTTGAGGACGCGCGCGTGCATGAATCCGCGGTCGATGGAGCCCTTGTTGATGATCATTGCATCTTCCATATCGTAGCCCTGGACAACGTCAAAGGAGATGGGGTGCGGTGGCGATGGTGTGGCGGAAAATGCAATCGTGAGAAGCACAGCAGAGGAAGGGGGATGGGAAAGCAGAGGGAGAAGAGATGCAAGCACGTGCACGTGCACACGCACGCACACACACACACACACACACACACACACACACACACACACACACACACACACACACACACGCACAACGGCAACGGTAACACAGGCGTAATAAGGCGTACGGTGTAAGCAATGACGCAGACGACGGCGTTGTTGCCGAGAGGGTAGTCGTCGAGGTTGTACTCGTTGTACGCGCGCGGATGCACAACAGGCGTCTGGCGCGGCAATGAACATACAAGGCAGAGTTGATGTGGGGTTGGAAGTTGTTGTTGCGAGGGTGAGGGGTATGGGTGCCAAGGTTCTCAACGCAAGTCAAAAACAGGACTCAACAACGCCAGGAGTCCCTCGTTCGGAAACGATATCGAGAGGCCAAGAATACACACACACACACACACACACACCTGCCCGCTGTTGAGGACGTAGAGTTTGTTGTCCGCGCGGTACGGGATGGCCTGTGAGGGAATGCCCATGGTCTGCTTACCCATCTGGCACTGGTACATGTTACGCGGACTCTGGTTGAAGTCTGCCAATGCGAAGCCAACAAGGCAGTGACATGAGGAGGCACCGTGTGAGAAGGAGGAGGAGGAGGAGGACACGCACGCACGCACGCACGCACGCACGCACGCACGCACGCACACACAAACACACGCACGCACGCACACACACACACACAACACACCCACACATACACAACACACACCCACACATACACACACACCATCGCTGCCAGTTGTACGCACCCGAGAATGGGGTGAAGCTTGACACGACGCTGAGCATGCCGTGCTTGCTAATCTCCATGTGCGTGTAGTTGATGCCAAACTTCTCGTGGTTGCGGTGGCACTCTGCAATGTCGACGCCAATGTCGAGGTACACCTGCTCCAGCGAGCTGATGAGCTCCCGCTTGTTCGTGCCAAGGTGCAGCACAGGCCGTAGCATGCGTGTCGGTGTCGTAAACAGATACAGGCCTACCGCGCCAAATGGCCACGCGCGGAGTGTGATCGGTCGTAGATGTGTTCGGTGGAGTGGGGTGATTGTGGGTGGACGTGGGGATGAGTGGTGGCGTGTTTGGTGTGGTTGATGATGACCAGTGGTGAAGCCAAGCGAACACGATGTTCCCGAGAGAGCAGCAACATGTCGAAAAGCACTGCAACGTGTATGTACTAACATGCGTGCTCTATCACCACCACGACTACCAGAACAAAGCCATCACAACCACCACCGCCAGCGCAACACAGCCATCACCACGACCACTGCAACCAACACAATGTGAAGCCATTAACAATCGTCACCACCACCACCACCATGATCATGGTCATCACCTGGGTAGACGCCGCCCTCCGCAGGCGGGATGAATGCAATCTCCAGCACCTCCGGAACATTGTGCAGGCCAAGCACCTTGTACTCGCGCAGCTTGAGGGCGACAGCCTCAATCGTCTTGACATTGGCCACACCGACAACAACGCCGTCGAGGAACACGTCGAGCACGGGCGGTTCGATGCGATGCATGCCAACCTCCTGCACCCCGAGCGAGTGCACCACTTGCCGCAATTGCCTGTGCACAACAGACATGCCGGAGAGGTGGATATTGTTTTGTTGTTGTGTGAAGCGTAATGGTTTGAGACGGGTGTGAGCGCAATGTGCCGAAAAAAAAAACACATAAGATACAATTCAACCAAGCGCACGCAGGACAACAAGATGCAATATGCCAAGGGCACGCAGCACAAACACACAACACAACACAACACAACACAACACAACACAACACGCACACATGCACGCACGCACGCACGCACGCACGCACACACACACACACACAACACACATGTAGACACAGAAACTGACTTGATGACCGCTGGGCTGACGGCCTTGCTCTGCGGGGTGCAGTGGCGGGTGAGATGGTTAAGGAGACCACAGGGCGCGCCATCGGGGGTGTGCACGGGGCAGATGAAGCCTGCAAGGCGCAGTGATGGGTGGTGTAGGAGGAGGAGGGTGAAACGACGAGAAAAGGGGAAGCTGAAGGCTTAGTCCTAGCAGCCGAGCCACGAACAAATCCAAACAGCCAATCACACCCACCCACACGAAACCAAAAGTTGCCAGATACACACAATTAAACCAATCAAACCAAAGTGAAACAAAGAGTCATGCTCCCTTCCTTTCCTCTCCCTCCTGCAGGCGCAAGTCAACTGACCCCAGGCCTCTGGGAGGAGTTTGCGAACGGCCGTGGTCTTCATCTCAGCAAAGTATGCACCACGATGCACGCAGCGAAAGTGCGACATGTAGCGGAGAATGTTGAGCTTGTCGGCAACAATCGCAAAGCCGGCCGCCTGCATCTGGTCGAGGCCCGTCGTGGACTTCAAGTTGCCCGTGGCGAGGAAGTAGTCGAGCGCCTTGCCTATGTCGGGCATTGTCGGGAACACCTGCACGCGCAGTGTGGTCAGAGGCAATGGTTTGTGCGTGTGTATACGTGTGTGTATGTGTGCGTGTGATTGTGATTGTGCGCGTGTGTGTATGTACATGTATTGTTCTGGTAAACAACCTTCACGAGGAAAAGCCAGAGACGAGACAGCAGCAACACGCGCATGAAAACACACAAGTGCGCGTGCGCTGCGCCATGACGTACCCTGTTTCTGAAGTACGACTGGTCGCCGACGTCCACCTCGCGGCCCATGTTCACCTGCATTGTGATAAACCGCTTCATCGCAAGCAGATACTCCTGCATTTGCTCCTGTGGGCCATGCATCCACGTGTGTGTCGGTATTCGTTGTGCGCGGTTGTGTGAGCGTATGCGTTTGCGCGTGTGTGAGTGAGTGAGCGAGCATGCAAAAGGACGAGGGCTATTGCATCACAGAAAACGCTTCGTCGCACAACCATGTTACTCACATACAATGCACGCTCGGGCGCCACACATGCATGCTCAACCCCAGCACACGATGTAACCCTGTGACCCTCTCACCAACAGCACCCCACGGCCACTCCGCCCCACCACATGGCCCACGTTTCCGCACGCCACGTGTCGCAGCAAGGCGCACCTTGAGCAGAGCGCCGTAGATCTGGCCTGCCTGGAGAACCTCCTGGTTCATGGGAGAGTCGGGGTTGTCGGCGCGCACGCGACCAGACTTGAGCGCATACAGTCGCCGGATCATCGCAATCAGCAGGTCGTACTTCGCCTGTGGAAGGGAGGAGGAGGAGGAGGAGGAGGGGAGGGGGATTGGCGGTTGCACGAGCGTATTAGAAGGGGTGGGTTGGGGCGCGATGTGTGTGTTTATGCGCTCACAAAAACACGGATACACGGTGTGTAATATGCATGCACACAACTGCACGTGCATTCACATTCACGAAAGGGCGCGAAACACACGATACGCCACGATATAGAATCGCCGCACTGTCTTCCCAGCTCCCCCCTCCTGTCTTCTTCCCTTGCCCCCTATATGCACGCACCGTGTAGTCGTGCTGGGGAATGTGGACAAAGATGTACTGCTTGAGGAGGTGGCGAGCGGCCTCAATGTTGCTGATGGACGGGTGCATACCCAGCTCAATGCGGAACATTGCCCCAAGGTACTCCAGGCTCGTGTGCTGGCTGTACGTGTTGTCCGGCGCAGCGCTGCAGTAGCCACGGTGGTGGCAGTGGCGAAGGAAGAAGGGAGAAGAAGGGATAAAAGAGGCGTGGGGGAGAGGGGAGGGGGGTTTGAAAGCAGGGAGGACGTGTGGGGACGTGTGAGTGGCGGAAGCACGTGATTCTTGGCATGGTGCAGCTGGCAACCTCGGGCGGGTATCCCGGCATCAAACACACACACACACACACACCAAATATACATAATTCCTCACACGCATACACACCACAATATACACACAATGTCTCTCACACATACACACCACAATATACACACAATGTCTCTCACACATACACACATACGCATACATACACATCAACATTCACACGGGCTGTTGCATTGTTGCGCGTTACTTGAGCATGGCCTTGACGTGCTCCTTCAGCGTTGAGTCCGTTGGGTCCGACTCCACAATCGCCTCGTAGATGTCGCGTTCCGTCACGTCCTTCAACGCCTGATGGCGCAGCCAGCCACCACCGGGATGATCGCAAATGGCACGAGATGCGTGAACAAACGTGCAGCATAACAAGCACATGTACGCAATCACAAGATGTGAAGGAGAGCAATCACCCACACACACATACACTCACGAGCACGCACGGCAGGATAGCTGTGTACTGTGAAACAATCAACTCCATGTGCGTGTGCAATGAACGCGTAACGTGCCGTGCATGATGCTTGACATACCCTGAGCAGGAGGATGGCTGGGATGAGGTACTGGCGCTTGCGGATGGAGAATCCGAGCGTGCACCGCCCGCCCTCAATCAGATGCAGCACAAGCCGCTGGTCGCCGTAAATGGTCAGTGGAGGGTGGTGGTGTGGTTTGGAGGCGGTCGGTGAGTTGCGTGATGTGGTTTGGAGGCGGTCGGTGAGTTGCGTGGTGTGGATGCATGACCCGGTATTGTGCGGTACCGAGCGAGACGAACACCGCATTGTTAATACCGACCAACTTCAACACCATGCCACTTCTGCGGCAACTTGCCAAACACACACACACACACACGCACACACACACACACGCACGCATACACAACACAAGCATTGCGGCAGCGACCAGCGGGCGCAACGGCTGTGCACGCTGCTGACCTGTGACGTCTCGTCGGGGCGCACGCATCTGATCTGCACACCGTACTCCGTGTACTTGAATCCGCGGTTCATAAACGAGGGCCGGATCAGTGCCATCGGCTGCGCAGAGGGTGATGGTGATGGTGATGGTGATGGTGATGGTGATGGTGATGGTGGTGATGATGGTGGTGGTGGTCGTCGTCGTCGTCGTCGTTGTGGTCGTGTGTGAAAATGAGTGGCAGCATGAAAGTGCTGTGATGATTGGTGACAACAACAACAACAACAACAACAACAACAACAACAACAACAACAACAACAACAACAACAACAACAACAACAACAATTCAGTCGCTGCATGCACGTACGTGGTTGCGCCGTGCCATCATGAGCATGCGGATGACCTTTTCGTTACCGTTGATGATAAAGTAACCACCGAACTCCTGCACACACACACACACACACACACACACATGGGTCACCACAAGGCAGTGCTAGCGAGGAGACCCAACGTCGCACACAACATGGCAAAGACATACGGACGCATACATACACACACACGCACATGGGCACACGTATGCGCACGGTACAAGTCATCATTCATGCACACAACACACACACAACACGGTCAGGCACACACACACACACACGTACCCTTGCTTCTTCTTGCTTTGCAATCTTCTGGGCTGTGGTGAGCTTGGACAGAATGCACTTGTCAGACATGACCATGATGGGCGCCTGGCCAACGTACCGCGGCACGGTCGTCACGTGCCCGTTGACGCTGGTTCAACCAAACATGAATGATGATGCACGAGGTGACATGACAGTGAGAACATGCTTTTCCCATCAGACCTGCAGCCTGGTGGACTTACACACACACACACATGTGCATGCGCGTGCATCCTACTTGATTTCGATTTCGAGAGTAATGTTGCCCTTGTAGGAGACGTGGCACTGGCGGCACTCTGCCGGGGTGATGTCTGTTTGTGCAGAAACGACTCTGCTGTTGAGGCTTGGGGCGCCAATCGAGCAGCCCACGATGCGCGTGGTGACCGTCTGGTCGTTCACATCGAACATGACGGGCTCCAAGTCCTCCACCGCAAGCGGGAGGTTGTGGCTGATAAACTCGTTGAAGGACTCCACATGTGCACGCGTGATGTCCCTCAAATCCTGCGTGCATGAAGACAAGGGAAACCATGGTCAGAGGGGATCAAATCACGTGTATGCGAGTGTGGATGTGAATGTGCGTGTGTGTGTGTATGGTTGCGCGCTTGTGCATGTCTATGTGCGTGCGCGTGTGCAACAGTGTTTGTGCGTGTACTTGTGTTTGTACGTGCACTAGTGCTGTGTTTGATGAGGTGCAAAGGGCATGTGCAAGTACAATGCAATGGCGCATGCACTCACAATCTGCATTTTCTCCTTCATCTTCAGCCTCTCGGCTGGTGTGATGATGCGCTCGAACGGAGCCTCCATGGTGAGTGGTTTGCTGTTCTGGGGACAGCAAGACCACACGAAGGTGATTGACAAAGCGGGGTTAGTTGCCAGAGGAAGAGAGAGTGTGTGTGCGTGTGTTGTGCGCGGGCGAAGAAGAAGATACAAAGCAGGTGAATCAAGGTGCAAGCCATGGTGCAAGCGATGGTGCAAGCGATGGGAGCAAGTCAAGGTGCACAGCGTGCTGGTTCAGTCACCTCGTGCTGCTGCTTTTGCCCACGTGACAGCGAGTGTAGAAAATTGACGCATGATAAGCAACAACATTCGCACACCCGACTTGTTTGTGTTTGCTTGACTCTCCACCATCCATCCACGCACGACATCTTGATACACTTGCCGTGTTGCTTTGCTTGCGAGCTTCATTGTGGGTGGGCGTATGGCAAAGGGTGACGTGACAAGCGTGGTGTATCGTATCAGCTTGTGTTGTGTCTCCACATGATCGCCACAACAGCGAGAGAGAGAGAGAGAGGAACAGGGCGAATCAAACCAAAAGGGATGGGTGTGGGAGAGAGAGAGAAAACACCTTGTGTGGGTCGTCAGGTCAGGTCACATCACGCGTGCCAGCAAGGGCTACATTGCTTAGCCAAAAGTGATGGTGGACTGGCCGCCAGGCGGGTGGCGCGAAGGGGGGCGGGAGCCCTCGTAGCGCGCAGGTGACTCAGCCAGGCTATGCAGGAAGGGGGGGGGGGGAAGTTCAGTGAGCAGCGTTGGTCGTGCGGGTATTGGTCATGCAAGCATGTGTGTGTGTGTGTGTGTGTGTGTGTGTGTGTGTGTGTGTGTGTGTGTGTGTGTGTGTGTGTGTGTGTCAGCAAATACCACAGCCTCCCCTCCCCTGCCTGAGTCACGACCTACCGAGAGGTGGTTGGGGCGTTGTAGCCAGCAGCACTGCGCGTTGGCGTGGCAACACCAGAGGAAACAGAGTTGACCTTGGGCGTGCGTGGCGTCATCTGTCGAACACGGCACACGAGGAGGCAGTGTGGATGTCAATACAACATGTGTAACGTGAATCACTGAGGGGTAGCGTTGTCGATAGTTCGCACACACACACACACACACACACACACGCACCCGCCCACACATACCCATACGCATACACAGGTTGCATCTTCCACAACAAGCTTCCCACTTCCCGCCACCACCTATTCCATCTCCCACCCCTGCCCAAGAAGCGCGTACGTTGCCCGGGGCGGCGGTGGTCGCGGGCTGCTTCGACACAGCGCTCGTCTTGGCAGCGTCCTCGGTGATGAACTCGCCAACAGCAGGCGTCGCCTCGTAGCCCGGGACCTAAAGGGTGATGGTGGGGGTGAGGAAGAGGGGCTGAAAAGGGATGTACACGCACTCACTCACAATCACACACTGTCTCCCTCTCTTCCACACACACACACACACACACACACACACACACACACACACACACACACACACACACACACACACAACACCACCGCCGCGACTGAAAGGCAGTACGCACGGCAGCATTGAGGGCCTGCTGCAGGTCGGTGATGAGATCCTCAATGTCCTCAATGCCGACCGAGAGCCGAATCAGGTCGTCCGTGATGCCGAGCTGGGCACGCTGCTCAGCGGGGACAGACGCGTGCGTCATGATGCACGGCAGCTCAGCCAGCGACTCCACGGCGCCAAGGCTCTCCGCGAGCGTGAACACCTGCGCATACATGTGAAAAGGACACCGGAAGGGTGGTGGTGGTGCCGGCGGCGGCGGCGGTGGGAGTTAACGTGTCAGTGGTGGGAGTTAACGTGTCAGTGCGAGTTGGTGTTTGTGAGTGTGTGTGTGTGTGTGTGTGTGTGTTTGTAACGAAGAATCGAAGCAAGCGAGCAACCGTAGCACCACGTACGTATGCACACACACACACACAGGCATACACACACAGGCATACACACACGCACGAGACACCCACCTTGATGGACTTGAGGAAGGTGCGGGAGGCCTCAATGTCACCGCGGATGCGGAAGGTGACCATGCCGCTGAAGCCGTGGCACTGGCGTTTGGCAATCTCGTGCCCAGGGTGCGACTCAAGGCCAGGGTAGATCACTTGCCGCACCTGTGCACGCGACACATACATGGCAGCGTGGGCACCGTGGTGGCTGTCGGTGAGAATGGGCGCACAGATGCGTCTTTGTGACCACGTGAACCCCCACTCCCCCTCCCCCACCCCAACTGCACGTGACAGCCCACGACACGACATGACACAACACATGTGCACACAACCACCGCTCGCCCTCTATCCCCCACCCTTGATCTTCTTCCCTCCTCCCCCCTTTCCCACTCCCCCCTCTTCCCCTCCACTGTCCATTCCCCACACCACGTCCAGGTCACGCCACCTTCGGGTGTGCCTCGAGGTAGCGGGCAACGCGGATGGCGTTCTTGGCGTGTGCAGCCATGCGCACGTGCAGCGTCTTGAGGCCACGGTTGACCAGGTAGCAGTCAAAGGGGCCCGGCACGGCACCCGCAGCAAACTGGATAAACTGCAGCCGCTCGGCCAGGTCGGCGTTGTTGGTGATGGTCACACCCATGAGCACGTCAGAGTGGCCGTTGTAGTACTTGGTGACAGAGGCAAACTCAATGTCAGCGCCGAGGTCAAGCGGGCGCTGGAAGTATGCCGACATGAACGTGTTGTCGACAACGATGATGCAGTCCTTGTTCTTCGCCTTGACCTGCTTCACAACCGCGCGGATGTCCGTGATCTGCAGCAGCGGGTTGGTTGGCGACTCAATCCACACAAGCTGCACACGTGGTATCAGTTGGTGGTTGTGGTGGTTGGGAAAAATGTGGAAAGACACGAATCACGTTGGCAGACACGAAAGGTGAGTTTATGCGCGAGGCAAAGGAACATACATGTGTGGCTTGGTGCGATTTGGTGGCGGTCGTGAAGTGAACTGCTGACAGCACAACACGGAACAACAGCATAGACAAACACAAGAAAGGGTGCCGCACAGGCATGTGTGCACGCAGTGCTGGCTGTGGCGCAAATGGATACCGGACCTTGGTGTTAGGCTTCATGGAGTCGGCAAACTTATCCACGTTGGCGGTGGGAACAAAGTCGGCCTGGATGCCCATGGGCTCGCCAAGACGGCGCAACAACCGGTTGGTGCCTACACGAAACAGTCATGCAAACACGCAGCCACGAAAGGGGGCGTGAGAGATTGAGACAGTTTGGGTTGAGTGATTGTGAGAGTAAGGATTGAAAGAGTGAGTGCATGCGTGTGTGCGTGTGTGTGTGACATTTGGCGGCAGCAACGTGAGAATGGGGGTGAACAGTGTGAAGAAAGCAGGAGAAAGGCTGTCAGCTTTCATATACATAAAGGAAGAATTGGCAGCGGCTGCAGCGAATCAAGTGCACGGCGTCACGCTGAACGCACCGCCGTAGAGGTCATCAATGGCAAGGACGTGGTCATTTGGGCGGAGGAGCTGGAGCACCGCGTTGGTGCCGGCAAGACCAGAGGCCCACACAAGAGCTGTTTGAATTGGCATGTTCATGGCATCCAAGACAAAGCGTGAATGGCGCAGTAGGCATGTGTGTTGTATGTAATTTCAGGAAAAAACACGCACACACTCGCAAACAACATAGATGCTGGGGGTGGGGGGACGAACACACGCGCAAGATTCAAACTGTCACATGCACCCTTGCTGCCTCCAATGAGCCCTGATGAACGTACCCTTCTTGCCATGACATATGGCGGCAAAGGCCTCCTCGAGCGAGTTGCGGGTGGGGTTGCCGCCGCGCGAGTACTCGAAGCCAGACTTGGTCACTCCCGGATCAGGCTGCTTGAAGGTCGTCGCCAGGGAGATGGGAGGGCACACGGCCCACGACTTCCACTTCTCGGGCTCCTGCCCAGCGTGGATCGCAGACGTGGCAAACTTGCCGTGGTCAGACATGGTGCTGCGCTGATGCTGATGGATGAGCTAACAGAGACAGAGGGTTGGTTTGTGCGTGAATGACGCCAACAACAACAAAACAGCCACTGAACGAAGAAGCATGCTCCTGCTGCTGCTGTCAAAGCAAAAACGAGGCAATCTGGATAAATTGAAAATATCTTTAAATAATAATCTACAATGTGCACAGTGCATTTTATGGTGTTGTCGAGCCAGACAGCGTGCTGATGGCTGTGTGTGTGTGTGTGTGTGTGTGTGTGTGTGTGTGTGTGTGTGTGTGTGTGTGTGTGTGTGTGTGTGTGTGTGTGTGTGTGTGTGTGTGTGTGTGTGTGTGTGTGTGTGTGTGTGTGTGTCGGGGCTGATTGTAGCCGGACCTGATTTAATGTTATTCATTACAATTCACACATAACACGACTGCTCTCTCGAGGGCCACTCTGAAGGAGTGAAGAGAAGAAAACAACCATCATCATCCTCATCACTAGCTAGAACCGCAACACACGCATCATGCACACGCACAGACACACGCATGCCCCCGCACATCAAACGATGAGAACACACAAACACGCAAACGCGCGCTCTCTCTCTCTCTGTCTCTGACTGTCTCTCTGACTGCCTCTCTGGCTGTCTGGCACTCACTCTCTTGCACACACCCCGCATGCACACACCACAGCTACCACCACCACCACCACCACCATCACCACAACACACTCACACAAACAGAACAAAGTAGAGGTCCATGGAGCATACCATGCAAACCACACGTCTCGTCGCGATCAGAAGTACGCACGCGCAACGTGTTCCATAATCTTGTGCAGCAGCGCTGCTGTCTCCTTTTCGTCGTCCTTGTCCAGCTTGGCCAGCTTGGCGTCAAGCCACTCCAGCAGGAAAGCCTTGCCCTCAAGCAGTTGAAGCATGGCTGTGGAGACAGAGTCGGGCGAGAACACGTACGCAAACAGCAGCGATTCCCAGTCCAGAACCACGTCCATAGTTATGGTTCGTGCGTCGCCATGCAGCACACGCCGAGGGCGCTCCCGCAGCGCTGTGGAATAGGAACGAGGAAGCTTCTTCTTTTTAGGGCCACTGAGGAAACCAAAGTCGACGATGCAGCCGTTGGGCAGGATGTTGTGCGAGCGCATGTCGCAGTGACACAGATCGTTCTTCGACAAAATGAGGAGGTGTTCAGCCGCAGCCTCAAGCGCTTCCTGGCTACCGATGCCCGTACCCTTGGAATCTGCATCCGTGTCCTCAAGCGCCGGCTCACCGTTGATGCCCGTGCCCGTCATACGCTTCGATAGGTCGGGACAGGCAAACACGGGGCGTGACCGCTCGTGCACTTTCACCGTTTCCTCTGGATAGACGAGTTCCCAGCCCTTCCGTTCGTTGCTAGCCTCCTTGGCAGCGCCAATCTCGTGGCCGCCGCACACCTTCAACACCTCGCCGTTCACCAGTGCAACCGACACAGTCTTCTTGCCGCCTTTGTAGACGCGTATCTCGTATCTCCTGGCAACTTTGGCAAACCTTTCCCGTGCTGCTTTGGTGACCGCAAGCTGCTGACGCTGCTCCTCCTCGCCGCTGTCTGCTGTGTCGGTCTGCGTGGCTGCCTTGGTGTGCTTGGGCACTATTGCTGGTGTGGTGGGGGAACCTGCTGCCTGTGCATGCTGCTGCTGCCGCTGCCGCTGCCGCTGAGGCGGCGTTGGGCTCCTGCTTCGGCCTGCCTGCTGACGCCGCTGTGCTGTGGATGGGCGGGCCTTCTTCTTGCCCGAATCAGAACGCCCGGTGCCGCGTGTTTGTGACACCCTGGAGACACTGCGAGTCACGGGCCCGTCTCCCTTTGCCTCCTGACGCTGACGCTGACGCTGCTGCTGCTTTCTTGGGGTTTTGGGCTTGGGCTTGGTTTTGCCTGTGGCTGTCTTTGTGCCTGGTGCCTGTGCGTGCTGCGGCTGCTGCTGCGGCGGCGGGGACTCTAACTGGGCTGCTTCTTCCTTGTCGCTGCCATTCTCGTTAGGGTGCTCCTCAAGGGTGGAGAGGCGGCCCTGTGTCAGGTGTGTGTGTGTGTGTGTGTGTGTGTGTGTGTGTGTGTGTGTGTGTGTGTGGAGTGGCATCGTTAATTGCTGTTGAACGGAAGAAAGAAGACACATACACACGTGCACAGGACATGTGTGATGTGATGAATGTGTTGCAAGCGAGCAAGAGGGCAAGAGAGCTAGAGGGCACGACATCACGCCTATAACGGCTACCTGGGCAATGGCGGAAACCTTCTCGTACTGCGCCATGTGCTCTTTGTCGACCAGCCACTCAATCACATGCCCAAGCTTGCTCAGCTGAACCCCACAGCAAAGAAATCCAAAATGTGAGCGCCATGTCCAAGCACGCACGACGGCATGCACTGGCCCACGTGCACCAACAACAACAACAGCAACAGCACAGATGCATGTGCGGGTACATGTGACACACACACACACACACACACACACACGCGCGCACACACACACACACACACACACACACGCACATACATGCACACACAAAATGCAAACACCCTCCAGCACTATTTGGCATATGCGATGGCAACTCACTGTGGTGTCGCCAAGTTTTGTGTAAAGGACACTGGGAAACACCTCGTCGCCGTGCACCTCATCGCCCAGCGTGCACGCGTACACGGACACCTTCTTCCCGCAGACGGTGATGGCAAAGGGGAACAAATACCCCTTCAAGTCACGCCACTTCGGCCCCGCAGACTTGATGGCCCGTGACGCATACTCCAGCACCTGCGCCTTGGCAGCATCCTGCGTCTGCTTGCTGTTATCAGTCTTGAGCTCAAGCAACAGCGGATAGAAGTCAAGGTTCGAGATAAGACGCGCAACATAGTCCGCTTGAACAGCGGGGTCGGCCTCGAACGACGCGTGGCTCTTGACGTGCACTGCTGCGTCAGCACACGCCTTGATCAGGGGCTCTTGCATGCTGTCATTGAACCGCGCCTCTGGCGTGCAAAAGGCATCAGCAAAGTCTGCAGGCAGTCAGCGCAGCGTTGGTGTGTGAGAGATGCCCCTTCAGGCTTCGCGTACACGCACGTACATGCATGCATACACGATGCACAAGCGCTCTCACAAGCACAAACACGTCTTTCACGCGTACAAACGAGTGTCGAAGACTTAACGGCCATTCATCAGCACCGACACACATGCCACGTGCTCTCACAAAAAGGACGCTCATACGTACACGTGCACACAGCAAGCAAGCGCATGCTCGACAATGACCTTACCTGCGCTTATGTCCTTGTTGATTGCCTCTTGAAACCCCTCGTTGTGCATGTGCCAGTCCGGGCAGAGAAGCTCGGCAGAGAACGGCTGCGCATAGACTGTTCTGTGGGCCGAGTCCGCGTCCTTCTTCCTCTCTTCGGCAGCGCTGCTGGGGGTGACGCTTGACTCCAAATCTGCCACGAACAACACAAAACAGCCAGGATGAGTCCAGTATGCCAGCAGCGCGGCAGCCAGCAAGCAAGACGCTCGCAACAAAACTAACAGCAGCACAACACTCATGCACACACACACGGAGACGCATGCGCAAGCAACACACACACACACACACACACACATGCAAGACACTAAGACAGAGTGAGACAGGCGTACCGCGTCGAAACTGCCGCTGTTCTTCGGACAGCCCTTTGCGCGTGACGTTGTCAAGCTTCTCAAGGATGCTTTTCACGTCGTCCAACGGCATCTGCTTCTTGTTGCTCACCACACTGCGGATATCCTGAAGCAGTGTCTTGATGTTGTCCGTGAAGGGCTGCTTCAGCATGCTCTCGACGTATTGCTGTGCTCCCTGTGCTCCATTTTTCTTTGGAGGTTCGTCACAAGGCGTGCCGATGTTTTCGATCCCATGCTTGCCGGCCATTGCTCGGATCCTCTCGGCGTAGGTGTCGTGTTGTTGACCGGTGGCTGGCTGCGTGCCCTCTAAAATGTTCTTGTACTCGTCTGTTGCTGCTTGCAAACTTGCGCGCGCAAGAACGCAAGCCTGAAAGCAAGGAGGAAGAAGGAGAAGGAGAAGGAAAAGATACACAGCAGGTGCCCACAAAGTGAGATGTTATGGATGCTGTGCACGTAGACATTTTGGTGCCAAATGGGCGTTGATGATGCTTTGGGCCTTGAAAGCACGCACCACACAGACATACACACACACGCAAACGCATGCCATGCACATACACACACACATGCAGATCACCATACACGCGCCCTCTCGTTCTCTCGCCACACGTTTGCACGCTTGCAGGCTTGCACATCGGCGCAACAATAACCCACTTCGTTTGTCGACAGGCTTGTGAAGATGTCAGATCCTTTGGTTTTCGTCTTTTGAGAGGTGGACCCAGCGGCGTTGTTGCTTTGCACCGCTCCCTTGCATCGTGCATCAAGTGTGTGTGTGTGTGTGTGTGTGTGTGTGTGTGTGTGTGTGTGTGTGTGTGTGTGTGTGTGTGTGTGTGTGTGTGTGTGGCACACGCGTGTTGGCGTAGACATGTGAGAAGTCAAAAAGCGCGCGCATTTGTGGTCGAGCACAGTGCCTCGACAACAAGGTGGCACTGGACCGTCACCATCGCACACACGCTGCGTGCGCTGCAAGACACGTTGAGTGTCACCCTCCTTACCACTTGCTCAGCCCTCAACCGCCCACTCGCGTCCCACGCACTCTCTCTCTCTCCCTCTATCCTTCTATCATTCCGTCCGTGTTGGTCTCACCTGTGCCGATGCGGCACTGCCGCTCTTCTCCTCTAGCATCTGCGGTCGACTTGTTGTTCGTTTCTTTTTGAAATTCGTTCCAGAGAAATGAAGAAGGAGCGAAAATTGTTTATGATGTCCATGATTCCTCGGCAACCAACAAAGCACAAACAACAAGCAAACAAGAAGATGAAGCGAGCGAGGAGCGAGGTGGTGGAGGTCGTGGCGGCGGCTTTGGCCGTGTTGCTGCTGGTGGGGGTGACAGCAGGGTCAGCTGCTGCTGGTCTTGCTGGTGGAGGCACCAGAGACTCGACGCCTGCGCCTCCTTTGGTCGGCTGTCCGCCGGACCATGGCATTGGCACCTTTCCGCCACCACAAGCCATGGGGCCACCTCTGTATCGTCTCATGGCGGCTATTGTCTTTGACTCGCACGAAGCACAAACGCCGTGGGAAGCAGGTGTAGTGCGCTGTGTGCACATGTGCATGTGTGTGTGCATGTGTGTGCGTGTGTGGTTTTGTGTGTGCATGTGCTTAAGCGTGCATGTGTGTAAGTGTGCGTGGCTGTGTGAAAGTGTGTGGATGTGCATCTGTCTGTGTGACTGTGTCTTCGCATGTCTGTGTGTGTGTGTGTTATGTGTTATGTGCGGTGTGTATGTCTTCCTCTCCCTCTTCCCCCCAGCTCTCTGCCTGTACCTGTTGTTTGTGTCTACTGCAGACGTGTGTTTGGTTTGCGACTCTTGTGACTGACCTGGCTTCACACACCACACTGTCACTGTCACGATGTTGCACTTTCAGGGCGGCATCAAGTGCCGTGGCACCTCAGGGACATGCTGGCACAAGGGCAACGGCACGACGTGTTCCTGATTGATCTCAGCTACGACCCAAACAAACAAGTCGGTGACAGGGCAAGCTTCGCGTGTGGGCTTGTCTTGAATGTCATGCTAGCGCCACAGCATGTTCTCTCTTACTCCTCTGTGTGCTGCACCCAATGTCCACGTGGCTGCTCGGTTGTAGGTATCACAGGAGTATGGATCACTGGATGGTGTGCAAATACGGTCGTTTGACCAAGGCCTCGGCCTACCATTTGACATATGGATCACCATCGGTGAGAATGGTGGGGGGAGAGGGGCAGGAGCTGCGCGTGTGCACCAAGCCGCATAACACGCACGCACGCACGCGCGCACACTTTTTTGTTGACACGTACGCGCTCTCGCCCCTAATGTCGTTGCTTCTGATTGTTGTGTTGCTTGTGTTGCTGCTGGTGTTGTGCTACAGGGTTCCCGCTGAGCCAAGCGCAGGTTGACAAGGTGCAGCTCACAGGAGCGAAGGTAAGGATGTGCACCAGATCTCATATGCAGTCGCAGTTGCTGCAATCATCGTGATGCTGCTTGTGCAACGACACACGTGCACTCTGACCCATTCCACCGCCACACACACACACACACACTCTCTCTCTCTCTCTCTTTCACCCACATACATGCGCACACACTCTCTCACACATACATACGCACACTCTCGCACACACACACACACACTCGCTGAGAAGATTGCCGCGTTTGTGCACGAGAGCGTGAAACGGCAGCAAGAGGACGCGTTTCTGTTTCCAAAAGCGCCGCAGCGCGTGTTTGCACCCCCGCGCCACCTGGACGCCGTGCTTGTTGCCGACTTTCTCAGCGAGTCAGTGCCACGGGTGGCATGTGCGTGCATGTTTGTGTGTGTGTGTGTGTGTGTGTGTGTGTGTGTGTGTGTGTGTGTGTGTGTGTGTGTGCATGTGTGCATGTTCGTGTGTGTGCATGCTCGTGTATGAAATGATAGCAGCTGTGTGGCGGGCATGTGATAATGTGAGCTGTTGAGAGTCATGTACGCGCGCCGTTCTCGGCCGTTTGTTCCACCCGTGCATTCAGCGACGCGCATCGCTCATTCCGTGCACACTGACTGCCCCCCCCCCCGTTCTCTTCACTGTCGATCCCACACCCCCACCCTGCTTCTCGCTCTCCATGTCAGCATGAGTTCGTACTTGGAAGTGCTGACGTTTGTCAGACCCCAACCGCTGCCGCTCCCGTACGGCACACGGTTTTTCCAAGTGCTTGCAGGCATGCTCCCCGCACGCAAGCACTATGCCCAGCGACCGAGCAAGGTTGGTTGACGCTGCTGCTGCTGCTGCTGCTGCTGCTGATGATGATGATGATGATGATGATGATGATGATGATGATGATGATAAATGATGATGATGATGATGATGATGGTGCTGGAGGTGGTGGTGCGAACGTAACGTATGTGTATGTGCGCAATGTGTGCACGTGTGTTTGAACGAAGCGCTTATTCCAATACCATGGCACACACACACACACAAACCACACACACACACACACACCTAACCACACACACACCTAACCACACACACACCTAAACACACTCACACACACACACACTGCGTGCTGCTGTATGCAACTTGCGGGGGCACCAGAACGTGACCATCTTTGAGCCAAACACACACGTTGACCGGTGCTTCGTGCTGCCCTTATCGGCACTGGAACGGCTGTATCGATCGACAAACGATTCGCTTGACCACGTTACCGTCACCAACGCAGACACATTTTCTGCCCTGCCGGAGGTCTGGCGCGTTGCTATGCTCACGGTGGTGGTGGTGATGGTGGTGATGATGACTGGGACGGTGTACACTGGATGTGTTTGTGTGGCTGAACAAGTGTCTTCGAATCACTGGCATGCCAGTCTTGTTTTCATCCCCACACTCTCACATGCACACACGCACACACACACACGCACACGCACACACACACATGCACACACGCACACGCACACACGCACACGCACACACACACACACACGCACGCACACACGCACACAATCGCTGCCCATGTCCCACCACCCAACGCGTGTCATTGTGTGTCAGGTGACCAACTACCTGTCCAAGGCGATATCGCTTCACCCGCACCGTATGCGCACATCGGGCCGCTTCAAGCTGCCCTGGTTTCTGTCGCAGTTCACCGATGTGGTGCTGTCGCATCAGTGGGGCAACCCCATGAACTACCTCTACTTTGACACCATGCACGCCGGATACCCGCTCGTCCACAACTCCCCGCACCTCAAGGTGTCCGTGTGTGTGTGTGTGTGTGTGTGTGTGTGTGTGTGTGTGTGTGTGTGTGTGTGTGTGTGTGTGTGTGTGTGTGTGTGGTATGTTTGTGATTGTGTGTATGTGTGTGTGTGTGTGTGTTGGGTTGACCGTGTATGAATACGTGGATTCAAGCGCTG